CTTAGTTTTAGTCATCATTCACAAACAGGTGGGGCCATGGAATGAACTCAGTTCTAGCACAATACCTGCATTGTTTTATTAACTATCAGCAGGACAACTGGATCAAGTTATTGCCTTTTGCAGAAGTGGCCTGTAATAATGCAGTTCACACTAGCGCAGGTTTTACCCCATTCAGAGTGGCCACAGGACAAGAATTTAATGCTATGCCTGAGTTACCCTCACATGAACCAGAAATCCCCTCCTTGCAACAGTGGATCAGTCATTTGCAAATCATTTGGCCAGTGGTCTGCAAAGCCTTGGATGAAGCCAAGGCTGCTTATAAAGCACAAGTGGATAAGAAATGAATAGAACCTAAGTGGGGGACAAAGTTTACCTTTCCACCAAGTTTATAAAATCTTTGCAGAACTCTAAAAAGCTGTCATTCTCGTGAGATGATTGGAGAGATCTCTATATGAAGTTTCTGTCTCCTGCATTGCTATACTGTGAGAGGGGTTTTGTTTGCACTTCTTTAAGTGGCTGTTTTTAAATGGGAAAATTTAGTTCCTGCCTAGACCTCTTGCTGTTACAAACCTTTCAATAAAAGTTCCTTTTGGAACAATTTCAGTTTTAAGAGACCTGTTTTCTTGGGAAGATTAGAGAGGTAAGATCTTACACTTTCTTTCCTGCAGCCATCCTCCATTTTATTTCCAATGTCTTTCTCCCGGCTTGGAAGTGGACTGGATTTTTCTTCCAACAATACCATAATGATGTTTTAAAATAAAAATAGGCTTCATCTTTTTAAATGAAAAAATGCAATTTCATTTCACAGACTGGGGCCCAGACATTTCATCTGCATCACAATGTTGTGACATTAGCTTTCCCATTTCATTGCTCAATTAGTATTATTCTCTTCATTTGAGTGCTATTACTTAGAGTATCATGGTTAAGGTTGATGAAACCCATAGATGGAAGATGACTGCAAAACAAAGCCCTGGTTTATATGCTATACCATAATGTATTTGTTTGGTTTATAAATGTAGTGCTATGTCACATAGTACCAAACATTTTCTGTAACTCTATAGAAATAATGTTGATGTTGGAAACTACAATTCAGTTAGAATGCTAAAGTAGAATCAGGAGACTGACATTCAAGTTTAGATTTTTCATAGGGTCACTTTAGGCCAGTCAATAACTCATACCTCAATTCATCTCACAATGTGTGGTGGAATATGACCCCCTGGAGAAAAGCTAGATAGCAATCCAATGAATGGATCAATACGGTAAGAAATGTATATTTGTGTCACATGCATTCAAAGTTATTATATGAACATAATGATTTAAGTGAATAAACTGCAGTTTATCACATCTTGGCATTAGTTAATAGTCATATTTTTCCAAATTATGTCAAATAAATCTCAAGAATCTCCATCATTATATACATATGGTGTGAGTGTGTGTGTGTGTGCGTGAGAGAGAGAGAGAGAGAGAGGGAAGGAGGGAGAGAGAGAGAGAGGGAGGGAGAGAGACAGAGAGAGAGGAGGGGGAGAGGGGGGCTGTGAGTTGGCTGGAAATATAAATTTATTTAATAATTTAAATAAATTATACACACACACTATTGGGGTGGGCTTCAAAAATTTTAGCAAAGGGTTTTCTGCCCAGTTGCTGGGTGGGCGGTGCCAGCCAAGAGTGGGATCTTAGCTAGGGGCTCTCTCAAACCCCTGCGAACCCCCAACAGCCCACCCCTGCCCATCTCTCTATCTATCATCTCTATCCATCCATCCATCCATCCATCCATCTATACGTATGATTTATTTAATAAATCTATTATATATGTATGTATGTGGTATGATTTTATATTCTCTGCCTGTCTCTGTTTCTGTCATATATATATATCGGTATCTATATCTCTTGGACAAAGAATAAAACTATAGCTTTGTTGCATTTGAATCAGCCTGCTTCTAATATTGCTATATTTAGGTTGTTTCCACAGAAATTGATTAATGATATATAAAGGCATAGATCTTTCTAATGGTAGTTTAATACTCTGATGATGTCAGCAGAGGCTGATGGAAACTTAGTAAGTATAATAAATATAATTAGTTCCAGAGATTGCAAGATGTTTGTTTCTTCTTTTACACAGACACACAGACACACACCATACACATATATAGTCATATAGCCACATAGCCCCCCCACATATGTGACTATGAACATATTATGCAATTACTTTACTATATTTTGTTGGCAGTTATGACATGTTACGAGAAGGAGGAGGAGGAGGAGGAAGAGGAGGGGGAAGAAGAAGAAGAAGAAGAAGAAGAAGAAGAAGAAGAAGAAGAAGA